CGAAGGAAACGAAGCGGAATAAGAAGAAGGGAGGAAAAAAAACGTAGGGCGGCCAAGTGGGTCAAGAATTGACCGAAATAGGGTGGCTGAAAAACGGCAGCGACCGACTACTGCGTCAGTGGAAAACGATCGAGTTCGAGCAGCCTCGGCCGGAATCCGGAGCCGACGTTGCGGCTGTGCCGAGCTCTGTGACGCAATCCTACTATACACGGTGCACAATGGCCCGTATCTGGGTCGTGGTGTCACTGCTACCCCTTGCTCGGCCGCCAGAGGGGCTGCAATTCCTCCTCTTGCTCAAAATCGCTGCGATATCCGCTCCACCTATTCTTTTATCAGTCTACTCCTTCTTTTCTTTCTATTTTTTTCTTCTCTTTTTTTTTCTATTTGTTTTTCTTTTTCTTTTCTTTTTTTTTTGTTTTCTCTCTGTTGTTGATTTAAGGGTGGAAGGATTTAATTTGATTGGTACATACTGAAGAGTAACTAGAAGAGTTGCAGCTTTTTTAGAGATCTTTTTTCTGATTGCAGTAATTCTTGGTTTCTTTTAATAGCTTCTTAGAGATAGAATTATTTTGAGAGAATATAATCTGGAATATAATCTAATTATAGTATAAATTTTAGAATTTATATATGCAGTGTATATATGTGATGTATTTATAAATTACCTTTTTTTGAATCTTGTTGTTCGTTTAAAAGAGAATGTACTAAGTGATTGATTAATAGATTTTGTAATATGTAATTCTTGGTTTCATGTTTTTAAAGAATTCTTTTGAAAGATAATATAATTTGTGGGTTTGAATTAGTATTTGTGAATCTAGAGATTTTAATAAATATAAAATTAATTTATAAAAATATCAGATTATTGATATTTTTATATTCATTTTAATTTTCAGAACTGATGTAGAATAAATTCACTGTAAAGGAAAAAAGATATCGGATTTAATTCAAAATATACGATGGCTCTTTTGAGAAATAATCTTTGAAAGAATTTAATTTTGGAATCAAATCGTAAGAAGGAATGATAAAAAAATTAATTTTGGTTAAGATTTAATAAAAATATATAATAAAAGAAGAAAAAACTTATAAAAATATTACACTTTGAATCACAAAGAATAATAAAGTAAAAGAATTAAACAGACTTTTAGATCAAAAGAAATAGCACAAAAGATCATGGTTTTCAGTTAAGCTTCGAATTACCTCCTTAATTTTCTTTAAATTTCAAATTGATTATTCGCGCAACACAAGGGTAATTGATCCGATATCTCGAATTGAATCTCGAGATTCTAGAGATGTCTTTTTTTCAGAAAAAGTAGAATTCTTTATCAAGATTCTGGAGCAAGAAGAGTCATCATCAGGATCGTTGCGAATCTTTCTGCCTCGAAAAGGAGGATCCAAGAAGGTGTTCTGGGTTAAGTACCGGCGAAGATTTCCACCATTTCTTGCCAATTTAGGGGAATGTTTTGCGCGATTTATGTTATAAATGGCGGCCATTGATAAAACAGCTCATTGTGGAGGAAACGTTGCATGATCTTTATACTCGAATTTCTCTTCGTGCTATGGTGTATTAACTGAAATTTACGCCATGAAAAATGTTTATAATTCTTCTTAATATGCAAAGAATAAATCGATTTTCAAGTCAGAAGAAACTTTTTAAATTAAAAATTCGTTTGAATAATTTTGTGCGTGTAACGATCTGGGGAAGGAAAAGAAAATGGTTTGTGCAATTTATTCATAAAATAAAATGGGGGAAAAAACTTTAAAATCCATTTGAATAATTTTGTGCAAGAAACGAGAAAACAATTTTTATCGATTAAAATTTTTACGATTCTTTTAATACTATCCATCAAGGAAAACAAATCACCGTTTAGACGAGAATATAACTTTTAATTTATAAAATCCATTTGTATAATTTCGTTTTGCAAGAAGCGAAAACGACGATAAATCGAGAAAAGAAAAAAAACGATTTATCAATTAGAAATTTTTGTTAATATTATCCATTAGATGAATAAATTATTATTTGGCGTGAAATATTAAAATTTTAATTTTACGATTCACATTTGTATAATTTCGAACGAAAATCGATCTATCGAGTGGAGAAAAGACAATTTTTTAAAAGTGATGTAACAACGGAGAGACGTATTCGAAGCATCCCCAAGGTTGTCTAAAAAGCGATCAAGTAGGGAAAGCGGGTCACGGAAGGCGAAGAAAAGGGCGTCGAACGCGTATCCTGAAATTACGTTTCCAGCGATTTCTGTGACCCAGATCGAGCCAACACGCAGATTGCTCGCACGCAAACCGTCAACCTGGTTGTTCTACATTTTCAGTGACATCCTTTCTTTCCCTCGTTTCAAAAGAAATCTCTCGCTCTTTCTTCGTTGTGAAATCACAGGAAAAAGATCATCGTGAATTCCAATTCTTTAAAAAAAAAAAAAAAGAAGATACATTTACAATGAAATTTTTGATTTTGTTTTGTTATTATATATAAGAATTTTTAAAAATTACTTAGCGTCAAAGGATTGCAAGAGTTACAATAGAGATGATAATTCCAAAATTTTTCATCAAACAATCTTTAAATTTCTGAAGAAACTCTTCCCCTGTGAATCGTTTCACAATGAATTTCACAAATTTTCGAATTACTTATGTTCGTATCTTTTAAATCTTTAAGTCTAATTATGGATACTCGTGTGATTTGTACAAGAGTTGCAATCGATTCAAATCCAATTTCTCTAAAAAGTCTATTCTAATCTTTAAATCTCGCCACTCAGAAGAAGAAACTTGAAAGAAAACTGCCCCTTTGAATGATTCGACGACGAATTAGACCATCGAGAACTCGATAAAGAAGCACCAAGGAATTGTTCCTCGCGAGAGAATATATCTCGAGGCAGAGATCTTTCAATCTGCTAATCTGCCTCCATTAAGAACTTCATCGATCTTTTATCTCTCTGCAGTCTCCCTTTGTTATCTTTTCATCTTTTAACCTACATCACATACAGCTGTGAAGAAAAGAAAAAAAAGATAATGTATACATATATAAAATATGTTATATATAAAATATGTTTAAAAAGTAAAAGATTCTCGATATAATATTCGAAATCTAAAATATTCAAATATTCAGAATTTTCTTCTTTATCAATTAATATCAATTAACCTCTTACAATTTAATCGAAAGATGCTAGAATATCAATATTTAATTTCGATCAAAATTCCATACGTATTTAGTCAATCAAGAATAAAATTCTAAAGAAATAAAAATATTTAGAATTGTTGATATTTTCGACAAGTACGATAAAATTTATGATAACTTACATATCACAATTTCGTATCAACAAAAATATTCTTAATTGGATTCACATCAGTAAAGTTGGTCATAGAAATTTGATAAAAGATAATAAATTATTACGTTGTAAAGATGAAAGAAATATTCAAATAATGATGAAAATGAATTTTTACTTTGAATCGTCTCAATGTTCAATTTTCTTCTCTACATTCGAATTGAGGCAATGCTTCTCTTGACTTTTCATTAAGCGCGGACCATGGAGAATGTCCTTTTTGTTGCATTACACGTTCGACCAATCAGAATTGTGTTTTAATCTCATTGGCTTGTCAATTTTACATATTTTTCATTGCTTTTACTAACAATATATATAATTTGCAATTAAATTTCATTCAGATCTTCAAACTTTATCAAAGACACGAAAAATATTGAAAATTGCGAATGATCTTAATATTTTTTTGTATATTCAAGTCAATTCGATCGTGGTATATCGCGAGAAACGCAGCATAAATCGAATTTCAAACGTGTGGTGGGGATATTCGATATTTCCTCGAGGTAGGATTACAAGTGTAATTTGTGTTTATCATCAGGAAAACCACTCACGCAGAGACGTTCTACGTATCAAAAGCGTAATATATATGAATTCGTATAAATTTCAACTACTAAGTCGATCATTCGTTGATCGTTCACTTTTGCCTACGATGAATAAATCTCTTTTTTTTTTGTTTCTTTCCTCCTTTTTCGAATTTAGTAGATTCGGTTTTTCAATTTTTGAAGTACATCATTAATTATTACTCTTACAAATTATATTTAATTAATAACTTGATATTCTATGGTAGGTATTACATGTATATTAGTTGATTATATTTTAAATTTTCAAAATGCATAAAATGTATTCAATCAATAATATATTTGCTATTTTAGGTTAGGTATTATATATATTGTTGTATTATTGTTTATATAATTATTGTTTTATATAAATTAAACTTAATTTATTTTGGAACATTGAAACTATCAACTTATAATATATAATTTAAATTTATTATAAAAATATGATTAAAAATATAAAAATATACATAACTGTAATATAAACTATAATAAAATTAAAAATTTTAATATAAAAAATTTAAAAAAAAATTATAAAAAAAAATTATAAAAAAAAGTAAAAAAATTAAAACAAATTTTGATTCCTTTGAATTTTACTATTAAGTATTTATTCAAGAATGATTTTAATATTTAGTAATATCAGGCTAATATTATATTTCGTTACAATAATTCTCTGATTGTGAGATTCCAAAGACATAAAATTCATTTTAAATTCAAATCATATATAAAAATGCATAACTAAAATCTATTTTTTTATTCATAAAAAAATATATTTCAGCTTAGTTGAATAATTGACAAAATTGGATGACCCATAAAAGTAAACACCCCACTTCGATCGGATGAATCGTTAACCTGAATCACCCTCAAAGAGGAGCTACTCTACTTTGAAAATTTCAACTACTAACAACAACAACAACAACAACAACAACAACAACAACAACAACAACCGTACATGGTGTAGCTGGCTTGTAAAAGCGAATAGTCTAGTTATCGGTTAATTTATAGCTAGACGAGCTATGTAGATGAGGGTGGCCTCGAATAAAGGGTCAGAAACATGGATGGTCGTCGATCGAGCGTCAAGTCGAGCACCAAGGGGGTAAGTTGTAACTTTCAAAGGACTCACCCTTCATGCCGAGTACTTGCACTTCTCCTCCAGTCGAGAGGACACTTTCCTGTATGTGGTTGGCCGCGAGGCGACGATATCGATACGCTTCGAGACGCGAGTCGAAAGTCTGGGTTCACTCGTAGGAATCTACTTCGATCAGGAATACACGCAGGAATATGGAACACACCCTGAAAACAAACACGATGAACATCAACATGATTGAGAAGGATACATAGATTGCATAGTTACTTGCTAACGATATATTGAAATTAATGGAAAAAATTTAATTGGAAAACCAATAGATCAAGAAATATTATTTGTTAGAAAATAATATATAAGATGATAAAAAAATATATTCAGAATTGTCGATATATTAAAGTATAGCAAAATTTTCAAAATTATGTGACATTTTAACATTATGGGATTATTTTAATCTGTATGCACTTTGATATTATATTATTGGATCGTTAAATTAACGCTTACAATGTTTATTACTTATAAGATATTTCATTTCAATACTTTTTTTTCTATATTTCTAGATACAGTTGACGCATCGAAAGAGAATATACATCATTCATCTTTTATCTGAATTATTTTTCACTATGAATAATTAATTATTAAGAAAATCAAGATGATCAAGATCACATGACATTCAATGTATTAATCTTGCACTATATAATCCTTTTTCTTTTTCTAAGAACTCTAAGAAAAACAATATTGTAAGAGGATTAAGTTCAACGTATCCTTTAATTAAATTTAGACTTTCTTGTTCATTTTTCTAAATTTTGATCATAATGAAAATAATGATATTGATATTATATTTTTCATTGACTAATATTAACTTAAGAGAAGAGATATTTTTCCAATATATCATGCACCATCTAGTTTAATCCTTTACGAGGCTTTCCAAAGTAAATTCCACAAGGAATCACTATTCTCCAGGCGGTTGGAGCAATTTGCAACAACTCGAAAGCGTTTAGAATATGGTAGAAGTGAGGAGAAGAGAGGAAGAGAAAGACAAGCATAAATTGACGTTCGTCCTTACGATACATGCAATACTCGTAAAGACTCGATTCCTACGATCCTCGAGGTATACCCAATGACCCGATGGAATACATTATTCCTGAACGTTTCCGGCGTGGGACCGGAAGTCACCACCATTTGCACTCACGCCGCGCCTGTTTCACGGTTGATTTGTGGTTAACGGAAGTCTTCGTGATTCTCGAGAATATCGATTAACTTTATGCTATATATCATGGAATTGCTTTTTATTCATTTTATAAAAACTTTTATGTTATCTTAGAAACATTTGAAAATATTCAAAGTTTTCAATTCATGATTAACTTGTATTATTATTTAAACGTTTGTTCATTTTGGAAATTAATTTTCTTCTAATGTCTGTCTAATTTTGGATTCTTTCATTCAAATCGAATTTCATTCTATATATAAATATAACATTAAGAATAAATTAGCGATTTCTTTTCGTAATTTATCGGAAATTAAGTTCCCATTACGTTCTTTTACGAATTCCCCCCGCGTTTTTTTGTTCGAGGCGAATCTTTTCCCTTTGAAATATTCCTTTTTAAACGACAATAGTCACATGTATATCGAGAATGGAAAAGAGAATGACTGGAAGAATCGAAATCAGAAAAGGAATGGAACATACGCGGAGACGGTCGTTAGACAACCATTTCAGTAACCATACCAACGGTAATGCCGAATCATTAGAAGGTTTCTAGTTGGCAACAATGGCTCAAGGAGTGGGAGTGAGAGGAGCTTTTGTGCCGACGAACCGCTCGCGCCAAACAAATCAACGGAAATTGGGATTTCTTTGATGGGAATCGAGCTTGAGGATCGATGCCTACCGATCGTCATTACTGGGGAACGATTATCAACGAGGTGTCTGATAGCCAGACGCTTGATAAAAAACTTCTGTAAAATGGTATTCGAGTTGGTATAAGTGAAAGAAAGCGAGATAGCGATTAACCGAAATCGTGGTGGAAGAAGAGAGAGAGAGAGAGAGAGAGACTTCCATATTGTTGAGCAAGGAAAGAACGTTGAGTGTTACGAATGAAATATAATTCCATCGACTTGGCTGTAAAACGTTGTCACTTTAAACCCGGAAAATTGTAACGCTCCGGGGAAATTAGATTACGAGTATAAAGGAAGGTAAGCTGGTAATTCGAAAAGAATATTTCACTTCGCGCATTCCAAGTGGAATTTTATGGAACAATATCTCGTATTCTAAATTGTTGCAGGTAATTTCTTTCGAGGAACGTTTAGGAACGAAAGCTACGTTTGAAATTTAAAGAATCTAAGAGGAAAGTGTAAATATAATACGTTGAAAAATGTATGCCTTGCAATACATATCGTACATTTGTTTTTTTTTATCTCGTATCTGTTTTAGAGAAAGAACAGTTGTGATGGATAATTTCAAAAGATCATCGAACAAGCTTGAAAATCCATGGAAAGGAGCTTAAAAGTATCGATTTCCATGTAAGCGATTAACAGTCGCGACAACAATCGAGCACACGCAGAAGAGCTAAACGAATTCTGGCCGCGGGATTAAACCGGGCACAAACGCGGACACATTCAATTATCCGTTGTGCATCCGGATACAAGGCTGTGCTGGAGATACGAGAACCACCCCCTCGAATCCAGTTCTCGCGGCATGGCTCGAAAAGCGTAAAGACTAAGCGGAAAAGCGAGTCGACGTTTCCCTGGAAATGTGCCGGCGTTATCGTTTCCGTCCTCATAACGTGCCACGGCGCCGCTTATCGCGCTTTATCAGCAACGATCCGTTGGAAAGCTACGCGAGCACTTTCCACCCTATCATCTCTCCCCTCCGTTCACTCACCCCCGTTTTCCCTTTCCTTTTATTTTCCATTTCCTCTCTCCTTTTTCCTTTTCCTCTTTTTCGATTCGTATTTCCGTTCCCTTCTTCCTTTAAATATCGTTTTTAATATTTGAAATATCATACAACACTTTTCTATGGAAATTTTTCTTTTGAGAATTTTGTTATTTAATCGACAGTGATTATTATTATAATTTAAATAGATGGAATTAAAATAACAATTGTGTAGTGATCGATTTTTAAATCATTCAAATAATAACCGTGACTAAAAAGTAGCTTGACAATATTTGTGGTCAAATGAGAATCATAGTTCTTATGTTGCAAAGATTATATAATAAGATTGTAATAGTTAATGATTAATGATTTATTTATTATTACAAGTAAACATACATGTACAGGTTCGTTTCAAATATTACTATTGCAGTGGTATCTTTTCTGGAATGTTTATTGCTTTTAAAGTGTTTATGTTTGGATAGATTATATCTTTGAAACTTTTACAATGAGACTTTGTATTTATAAATGTAGATACATTTTTGTTCTTAATAGGAAACGATAGGAATTTATCATGCATATTGTTTCTAGAGATATAATATTCATAAAATCTTGGTTATTGTGACATTTAATTTCTGTTCCTTGATTCTTACGATATAAACATTCTATCTTATCGACAGAACTCTATGCTAATCTTTACCATGCTATTCGGCTCTTTTCGACAATATTCGTTGAAACTCGGTCGACGATCAACTTTCAACTTAAAATCAGTTTTGTAGCCGCTTCAAGCGAGTAACACTTCTTCTTTCTTCTTTTTTACGCGGAAAGAAAGAACTTTTTAAAATTCGATGCATACTAAGATTATAGCGTTCAATATACAAAAAATATTCTGAACAGAATAACAAATGTTTGTCTCAGTTTCTTCGGAATAAATTGCGAGTACGATATCAAATTTGTCTCGCTTTAAAATAATTTACGACCCGCGTTCTTTAATCAGCGAACTCTGTCCAGGTATTTTTTTCTCTAAATCGCGTGCAAACGGAACTTGGGCAATTTTCCTTGTCGTTTCGACCTCCTTTCTCGTTGTTTCACCTCTGTAGGGAAATAATACAGGGAGGGAGAATGACGTGAGTGGATTTAAAGGCGAATAGCGAAGAAATGGTTAAGACCATGCAAAAGAAATATGGCGAAAAGACAGAGAAGAAGGTAAAAAGTATGAAGCTTCGTAAAACTTTCCAAATCATTTTTTACATCGCTCGTTTTCGTTTCATCTTTCGAATCGTCTATTCGCTTCTTTTTTTTTTTATTCCTCCTTATTCTTTTTCATTCTTTCCTTTCCTTACTTTTGATTTCCACGACATATATTTCAGAGAAATAAATTGTACTTTGAGAACGCTTGATAATCTCTAAGAATAATCTGTCTTATATTTTATTTTTTATTGTTGGATTAATGATGGATGTTGTGAAATTGGATTAAAAACGAGCCAGAATTAGAATTTCTTGAATGGATGCAAAAATAATGAAATTTGAACAAGATCATCTTTCATTCTCGGTTAAGATTGAAAATTCCATTGAGAAAAAAAATAAATTATGCAAGATTTGCGAACGAATGGTTTCTCGTGGTAAGGTTTATGCTCGATAATCGAGTCCATTAAATTGCAGAAACTACTCAGGATTCGTCTATACGCCGACGACAGCAAGAAGTTGGCGAGGATTCGATTAAAATTCAAACAAAGAGACGAGTTCATCCTCGATTCAATTACAACTTTCTCCGAACGAAGATGTTGAAGAACACATAAGAAATTTAAGAAAAAAAAAAAATTTTATTCGAGTCTTGAAGATCTCCATAGAGTTTGATTAATATTTAGTTGACAGCGTAAACAAGCTGACATGCAAGGAGAAAAACCTCGAAATTCGTTCGAAATTCATTTCTTGACATTTCAAACTCAAAGATTTAATTGACTATCATTTAAAAATTAGAAATGCGTAATTGATTTTGTTAATATTTCAAAAATAAAATGGAGAAAATTTTGATAAGAAAATTAAAAAACACAATTCACTAAATTTTTTAAACTTTTAATCGAGAATGATAAATTTTTCATGATATTTTAAGATCTCTATTTAATAATATAATTTGTATATATATGCTAATTTATGTATTTATTGTGAATAAGATTACAGATGCCTATGTATAATAAAATTTTTATGAATACGAAAAAAGTTTAAATGGAAATTTTGCTTTTTCAAATTCTATAGATTTTTATATATTTAAATTTTACATAAATAACAATAATCTAGTCATAACACATTTGTCATGAAATGCAATATTATTAATTGATTAAT